GGTGTTTGTGTGTGTGTCCAGGGCACACGAGGTGGGAGCAAGCCTGTGTGGTGTTCCGTGCAGCCTGACTGGAAGCCCCGTTCTGCGGCATTCTGCCTCCCCGCCTCCATGGCTGGCCCCCACATTGTTTCAGGGTCCTTCCCGTCTCAGGGTGCACATGGTAGAGATTTCCGGGAGCCTGCCAGAAACGACCTTCACTTTCCACCGGGGTCTGGGCTGGATCCAGCCCCTTGCCCCGCCCTGGGAGGGTCTGCTGGGAAGGGACTGGCATCAGGCACTGTCAACATCCTCTTGACCGGCTGCCCCGCTCCAAAGGGACAGAGTGGGAAGAAAAGGTCTCGACTTGTTTTCCTTAGGGGCTGGCAGGAGCACTCACTCTGAGGGGGCAGGTCACTCCCAGCACACCCCAGCCCTCTGCGCCCTGGCCCATGAGGGTCACAGGAAAATGAGATTGTGCCCATTCCTCGGATACTGAAGGTGGACAGGCGATCTCCAGGCTGTCCCTTCCAACTCCCCAAGACCCCAGGGGCTCCTCTGACCCTCCTGGGCACACCCCTCAGGGCCATGAGCCCCAGGACCTTGTGGCCTAACATCGGCCCCGTCTATCTTCCCGGATCAGGGCTTGCGTTTGTCTGCAGTAGTGCCTTCAGTACCTAGAACAACGTCAGACTCGGGTCTTCGAGGCTTGTCTTCAAATAAGCAGCCGCCTGAGTGAGGCATCAACCAAGTCCACATGGAAGCACACCATCCTGTGACCCAAAGATGAGGATGACAAAATCCGACTGTGACGAAGGGAAAGTATCGGTGTCAGAGCTGCAATTGTGAACAGCCATTTGTAGAAGGCCAGGGAGGGCAGTGGAAGCCCCCCAAAGCAAAGTACCCAGTCCGACGAAGCCTCTGGCAGATCCCCTCTACCAGCAGGCAAGGGTGTGGAGCAGCTTCGCGATCAGATTTAAAAGGATAGATACTTGGTTCAGTGGACCTTTCTTGACCCCACCCGAATTTGCTCGAGGCTAATATTTCTAGGTGGTTCCATGACAGAAATTTCTTCTTTAGCTTTTTAAATAGTTGGTGGTCTTTCTTGCTCCTTATATTCATCTATCTATATTTTAATTGCATCTGTTAGCTTTCCAATTTTAGGAAGCTCAGAAGTAGATGCATAGTGACAATAAATGACACAGTGGTTCATCAGGAATGGGGCAAGGAAAAGAGGAAGGAGGGTGTGGAAAATTGGGGAGCAATCGAGTGCAGGAGTTGTGATTGTGATGTCGTACATGCAACTCTTTTAAAAGCGATTTCACTATGTAAATGTACATGTCAATATTGTTATCAAGAAAACCACTAAAAAAATCCCAAACCAAAGCAAACCTATGATGACCCTGGGTGAAGGAGGAGGAGATTTTGCCTGGGGGGCACTGAGCTTGCTTCAGTGGTGGAACCCTGTGGAGAGGGACATCAGTACGGGTCGTAGGACACGAAGCGTAGCATCAATGGCACTGGATCATAGATGTAGGAAGTTGTGGAACTGGGGAATGTTTGGTTGTGTATATTTTTGCCAAAATTGGAAAAAAAAGACTACACGAATAACAAGGGCAAGAGAGCTGTTCTAAAATTGATCATGGTAAAGACGTACAACTCTTCTTGATATGACTGAACTATTGACGTGTGTGACATGTGGATCAAGGGCCAAACTGAAAAAACACGTCAGGCAGAGTAGGCACTCAGTACACATTTACTGACTACCACTAGATTTCATTTGCAAGAAAACCGAAATTCAGAATCTAACTTTCTGGAAAATGGACTTTGGGAGTTGCTTACACCGGGGACTGGACGAGAGCCCAGGTGTCTGCGGCGACAGCAGCTCAGGAAAGACGCTCTCCTGGGCCCGGGACGGTTGACCAGGGTGTGTCTTTGGACCAGGTGACACTGCTGGTGAGCGTGCTGGGGGCGGAGTCTCAGCAGTCCCACCTCCGATGTGTGTGTGTGTGTGTGTGTGAGAGAGAGAGAGAGAGGGGTGGGGTGGGGGTGGGGCGCCCTGCGCTGGGCCTGGCAGGGTCCTGGTGAGGGGGTCAGGCCAGGGATGAAGCAGCAAGCCTGTTTTTATCCCCTGGGGCATGTGCAAACCCGCCCACTGAACCAGGGAGCCAGACGGACACATGCGTGGATGGAGCTGCCTCCAGAGGCTGCCCTGGCGGGAGCCCTCACTGAGCTGCTGGAGGTCCTCAGCAGTGTGCATGTCCCCAGGTCTCCAGGGCCTGCAGGCGCACTGCAGGCCGAGTGGGCCCCCAGCGGCTCCAGAACAGTTAGTCACATGGGCACACAGGGTGAGGCCGGGCTCTCAGCCGGTGACTCAGGGCCACCGCACACCTTTTAAGGTGAAGGAGCTGGGGCTGGGCCCCGGCCTTCCCCACACTCACCCGGAGCAGAGGCCTGACGCCCACCTGGACTCACACCTGCCATTGTCACTCCTCAGCTCTAACCTCCAGCCAGGTCTCTTGCACTCAAGATGTGAAAACAACCCTTGCCTCACAGGAGAGGAATCGCATGAGATCATGTGCAGAAAGGGCTCGGCACACCTTTTAAGGCGCTAGGGGGTGGGGAACGGGGACTGGGGCGTCAGGACCTGGCTTGGCCTGCCTGTGGGACAGTTATTTAACCTCTGTACACCCAGCTTGCCCGGCCCCCTGCAGGATAACGCCCCACACAGCATGAGCCACGGGCAGGCAGCTGCGAGCTTCTGGTGGGACTGGGAGGAGGACCAGCATGGCCCCGCAAGTGCTGTTCAGGGCTGTCTGTCTCCACATACCTGACCCGAGCTTCCCCCTCCCCCCCCAGCTATGGACGCTGCCCCTCCTGTAGACCCTGGCCGGCAGCCTTCAGGGCACAGCTGCAGCTCGGCTCCAGTCCCGGCCATGGACATAAACATTGGTGTCCCCGGCTGGAGCTCCATAGACGCAGGGCGGGCACGGCACAGACGGTCAAGGATAGGTGTGGGAACCACTGCTGTCAGTGGGAGGAGGGGACCAGGGGTGAGGCTGGCTAGGCTGGCTGTCAAGGGTCAGAAGCCCCAGCAGGGCCACAGGAGCGACAGCCAGGCTTCCTGAGGACTGCTGAGGGCCAGGGAGCCAGGGTGAGGGGCCCAGTTAGCGGTCTTGAGGTGTAGCCGAGGCTCAGTGAGGAGGGAGAGGGTACAGGGTTGGCTGTCTTGAGCTTGGGCTCTGGAGGGCTGTCTGCCATGTCTCAGGGGCAGGGACACCACCCTTGTGCCCTGTGAGGGAGGAAGGAGGGGCTGGCAATGGGGAGGCTGGTGGCTACAGCCAGGAAGCCGGGGGCAGCAGCTTTGCTGAGCAGAGGGAGGGTCCCGGGAGTCCATATTGATGGGAAGCTGTGGGCAGTGCAAGCCCTCCTTTTATTGGTCTGATTGGTTCACAGTTGAGCCACCTGCTCAGAGAAGCAGAGGGCAGGGGTGCTGGGACCTTGCAGACTTGAGCCTGAGGTTCCCGCCGGCCAGGGCTTGCTCTCCGTCCCTGGGCCTGGGAGGGGTGTGTGTGCTGACTGGGTCGAGTCAGAGTGGGGACCAGAGCCTGTCTTCACAGAAGGGGCCATAAGGTTCTTTAGGACAGACCTACAAAAGATGGGAGAATACCTATTACTCTCACTGTTCCAGTTTGCTTGTTTTTCGTAACGAAAGAGCAGCAGGAGAGACAAGGGCAGAGGAGGGCTGGTTTCTGATCAGGAAAGGCTAAGGAGACGAGGACCAGGGCTTCTGGCCGAGGGTCCCAGGCTGGCCTGCGGACTTCTGGGAGGACTGGTTAGTCCTGGAGGGCAATGGCCAGGAAGATAGCTGGCCAGGGTCCACAGCAGGAGCAGCACTCCCCCAACAGATACCCCCAGCTGGGCAGCTCAATGGACTTGCATGTCTCCTAGACACAGGCCCCAGGGGCCAGCCGGGGGAGCTGGCAATAGGGGCCCGGCCCTCCCTGGGGCTGTCGGACACCTCCCTGCTTGTCAGCCAATCAGTTTCTTCAGGAAGGCCTCCAGCTGGTCCTCGTCCTTGATGCCCACGAACTTGTCCACCACATCACCGTTCTTGATGGCCAGTACGGTGGGCACAGCAGACACCTGGGGGGAGGGGCCAGGATGGGAGAGGTGGAGTCACCCACAGGCAAGCTCCGCCCCGTCCCTTCACTGGGGCTTCCAGCAGCTGACTCTGCCAGCTCACTGGCCCCGTGGTCAGGTGGCAGCGGTCAAACCCAGCCCTACCAGCGAGCCACCTTCCACACAGCAGACCCAACGTCGCCTGCCCTCTGTGCGCTGCAAATGGCTAAGCAATCTAGAGAAAGGTGTAGCCATTTACTTGGGAGAGACCAGCCCTGACAGCCTATGCTGGCCCGGGAGCCACCGCCTCTACTGAGGACAAGGTGGGCTCAGCGTGATGTTGCCTGCCTTGGGCCACTATGAGGCCAGCCAGGCCCCGCCTCACCCAGTGGCACTGGCCAGCCCAGGATGCTCCACTGGCGACACTGTTCACACCCCTCATGCCGCTGGAAATGACAGCTGAGCAGGCGGGTCCATAGCTATGCCATCTGGTCTGCCACGCGGCAGGCTGGCACAGCCCGAGAAGGGACGTGACCTCTGCCTGACACACTGGCGGGACACTGGGCAAGCTGTCCCGTACTGACTCCCCAGGGCTGGCCAGTGTCTGGACGGAAGGGTCCGTGTGGGTCACGAGCAGTGTCACGCAGGGTACAGTGAGAACCCACCAAGGGGTCTCGCGAGAGCCACTCAGGGCACTGTGGGGAGGCGTGGGAAAGGCCGCCTCTCTGAGTTCCCCTCAGGAGACTACATGAGCCCCTGGCCACACTGTCCCCTCCCATCCTCAGAGGTACCCAAGGCCCTTGAAAATGCCCATGAACAAGATAAACTGCAGATTCTCTCTCCCCACCCCCGAGTTACCTATAAGGCCATGACAGGACTCCCACGTTCACACTGGCTTCCAGTGCCACCCCGTCCCCCAGCTACGTGAAGAATGAGAATGTTCACAGGGTGCAGCTTGAGTTTGTAAAGAAAGATGTGCAGACAGGGCCAGGCCACCACCCACACAGTGGGAAATGTCCAGGCCCTTATGGGCCTGTCCTGGTGAGAGCAGACACACTTCTCAGTGTGTGTGCCAGCTGGCTGACCAGGACGCACATGTCACTGCTTGCTGCCCTGTGCTCCTGTCTGTCCTGGGCTCTGGCGAGGGGAGGGCGGGCTGCAAAGGACCGAGGGCCCAGCAAGTGCCTCCACCTGCCTGCAGTAAGGCCCGGCCTTCTGTGTTCTAGCCTCCCGCGCCCTCTAGTGGCCAGTAAAGGCAGTCAGGCGCCTCAATGCTGGCAGTTCTCACCAGAAGCACAAGGCTCCCAACCGAGTGCATCTGGGTTCCCTGTCCTGCCCTGCTGCTTCCGGTCCTCACTCAACCCCTGCTCTGTGTGCAGGGGTGGTGGTGTCTCCAGCAGGTGGAGGCTCTGAGGGTATACAGCCCAACAGGGGTGTCTTCCTCACAAATGCAAACACATATGTACTCACACTGCCATGCCCATCCTGTCCACATGCCGTGCCTGTCCAGTCCATGCAGCCATAGGGATTCGGGCAGGCAGACAGCAGGCAGGTGCAAGTCAAGACACCCGAGGCCTGGTGGTGACTGTTATGGGGACACTAGGATGTCTAGGTTTACAGCAGGCACTCAAACCATTGCTTGGGCTAGGGTGCACCAAAGACCCAGCTTCTCTCTGGGTGCTGGGAGGTCCCTCCTGGTGGGCCTGCCCCTCCTGGTGGACCTGCCAGAGAGGAGGGGTCGTATGTTCCCTGCTGTGAACAGCTGAGAATTGGAGATTTGGGAAGGTGTGTGGCTTCAGCCAATCGCTGCTGCCCACCCACTGCCCCGGTGTGACCACCAGTCACTCGTCTGGTCCCATTCCCCCTGCTGTAAGGGACCAGGGGTTTGGTGGGGCACCTCAGTTTAGCGCAGAAGCAGAGCCGAGAAAAAGATGCTGTCGTTTCTCCAGTCACTATGGTGCCCAAGGGCGGTGAGAAGGGCTGCTGGGCTACCAACGCAGTAGTTACCAGAGAGGACACCCTCCACATGCATGTCCGTGGGCACTCAGGAGATTCGGAAGTTTGCCATGAAGGAGATGGGGACACCAGATGTAGAATTCACACCAGCTCTCTCCACAAAGCCAGCCGGCTGCGCCAGAGGAAACAGGAACGTCCCAGACCAAATCCAAGTGCGGTTGCCCAGGAAATGCAATGAGGATAAAGATTCCCCAAACAAGCACTGTACACGGCTACCACATGCCTGATCCTGCAGTCAGTCAACATGGATGAAAACCAGAATCTAATAAAGGCTCTAAAACTGCCTTCATGCGATTCAAGGTTCCCTTAAATACAAGCAGTGGGGCAGGGAGTCAGAAAAGACCCGGTCATGGCTACTGCTCACGGGGCTCCGAGAGGGTTGGCATCGGCCCACTTCCGACTCAGTCAGAAGACCGAGGCCGCGAGGCTGAGTGAGGGCTCCACGACTGAGGGGCGCAGTGAAGTGGGGTCTGACGATGCTGCCAGGACGTCCCGGAGGGAGCTGTGTCGGTGACCAGGGCTTCCTGACTCAGCTGAGAATGGTGGCTTTTCACGGTGCACTCACTTTGATAAACGGGCAACCCTCTGGGCAGAAGGCCGAAAGCACAGCTCTGAGGAGAGCGCCATGGGCCCGCCATCATCCGTCCCCCAAGAGTGGCCAGGAAGGCCGAGCGAGCCTTCAGGAGGATGGAGCAGGAGGCAGGAACAGAACCCGCTCCTTGCAAGAAACTACTAACAGGCTGGACACGCATGCTTCAGTCCAGGGGGACTTTGCGCCCCTCCTGTGGAGGAGCAGGGAGACAGTGGGGGCGGGGGTGGGGGTGGGCGTGGGACAGGGGGAATTCAAAGGTGGGCAGAGGCTGGAGACCTAGAGTGTGGTGTGGGAGACAGGAGGGTCTGGGGGAGTGTAAGTAAAGCCATTCCTTCACCAAGACCCCTACCATTCAGAGACTGACGAGGGCCACACTCAGGTCTGGGAGGAACGTCTTCAGGGGAGCAGGTGGGAAGGAAAGGAAGGGCAGGGTATGGGTTGGTGCTGCATCCCTGCCTGTCCTCACCACTCTTGGCCCGTAGTCAGTCATGCCATGGAGGCCCCATCGCCCAGCCCTTGGTCACACCACCTGCAGACCCTTAGGCACGGGGCCTGCAAAGGGTTGACTAAGTCCGCCCTTTCCCAAGGGGTCGGTCAGGGGGAGAGCTTTGAAAACCAGTCACTCACTGGCCCAGGAGGCCTCAGTATGTCCCCTGGGTGGACTGGTGTGGGGCTCACTGCAGGGATCCCAGCACTGGCTGCCTAGTGGCTCTGCCTGCCTGAAGCATTGCTGAAGCGGGGAGGAGACCCTGCCTGTCCTTTGGGTGGTGGCATCCCTGCCTCCTTCCCACCCAGATGCCTGCCGAAGGAACTGGGTGGCAGCCAGGCCTCCATCGTGTGCTGGTTTTCTGAGCCTGGACTCCAAGCTCAAAGAAGGAACAAGGGCCCTCTCGGGGAGACCAGCTCAGCTGACTCGAACCAGGGCTGCCTCCAGTTGGGAGACCCCGAGACCACACGGGCCGAAAGAAGAGCTGGCAGGCAGAAATGACCCCTGCAGACACTACCTGAGCCTCTGGAGCCAGCTGTGCAGGAAGTCCATACTGGGGGTTCCGGTTCTGAAAGCCAGGGGCTCCCCTCTGCATGGGCCTCGTGGACCTTGGAAGGCATGTCCTGGAGACTGCTTGTGCCCATCTCTCTCTGGCCACGGCCACCTCCCAGGCCCTGGTGATTGGCTTGTGCTGTCCCTCCACCCTCTGCCACACTGTTGCCAGAGGACACCCAGCTGGGTCCACACAGGCCCAGGGGTCACCCAGCCTGGAACCCCGGAAGATCCTGCCACTAGGCACGGTCCAGTGGGACCACCGCTGGTGCTGAGGGCCACCAGGGTCCCTGGTGAGCGGGAGCTCAGTTGTGAGTGCCCACCAGTGATGACTCACGTGGCCAGAACCAGATGTGTGAGACCAGACATCTGGACTTGGGATGAGCTCCTCTGAGTTTTAAAACCAGTGACCAGTCGTGCCCATGAGGCCAGCCTGGCCCTGCGATGAGGCAGCCCTCCCTGCGGCAAAGGCTGCTTCTCCGGGGCCTCTGCCTGCATGTCTTGGTCCTTCTCTGGGGCTGCTTGCCGCAGCCAGCGTTTCCTCATTTCCTCCTCTCCAAGACCGTGAGCTCTCCCACAGGGTCTCCCAGCCCCGCCCTCCTCCAGAGCGCTCTGCATCTGGGCCAGGGAACTCACGATCTGCCTGCCGGGCCTTTGCACCTGAACTTGCTTCGACTGGTTCCCTCATGCCTTCCTGCCCTCCCACCTTCAGATTCCAGGCGCCCAGCTTCCTAGCCAGCCCTGACCTTACAACAGTGCTTCTCAACCTTCCTAACGCCGCAACCCTTTAATACAGTTGCTCATGTTGTGGTGACCCCAACCATAAAATTATTTTCGTTGCTACCTCACAACTGTAATTTTGCTGCTACTGCTAGGAACTATAATGTAAATATCTGAAATGCAGGATGTATTTTCATTGTTACAAATCGAACATAATTAAAGCATAATGATTAATCAGAAAACAATATATAATTATATATTGTGAAATATTTATGTGTTTTCTGATGATCTTAAGGACCCCTGTGAAAGGGTCGTTTCGTTCGACCCCCTAAGGGGTCTCAACACACAGGTTGAGAAATGCTGCCTTACAGAGAAAGTCCCTGCCTCCATGCTGCCCCAAAGGGGTGCTCTCCGAAGCCTCCTCTGATCACAAACAGGGGCCAGCGGCCCATAGTCAGGTCCTACCCTCTGTCTGTTTGTGCACAATGGTTTTGTAGGCTATGCCCACACCCCTTAACTCTCAGAGCATCTCTGGTCCCAGGGCCGCGGGGAGACACAAACTCCCTGCCATTGAGGTGATTCAACCCCATGGGGCAGTCTCTTTGCCTCACACACTTGGGACATGCTGTCAGCAAAGAGCAGTTCCTGGAGGGCAAACGGCTCGAGCATAAGACCAACTGTGGGTACGGTGCTGGGCCGGGGTTGGCGCTTCACTGCGCTGTGAATAAGGTCGTTGTGGGTCAGCACTGGCTAAAGGGCACCTAATAGCAGCAGCAACCTTGACCTTGACGGAAGCAGAGCGCCTCCCCTTTCTTCCTTGGTGTCCACACCATCAATCCTCTGGTCTCCGAGGGAGAAAAGGGCCCTGTCTCACCTAACCCTAGCGTGCAGGCCCCAGGGGGCAGGGTCGTCTGCTTTGCTCACCACACAGCCTCAGAGGAGCCTGGGTAAAGTGTCGCATTGCCAATTGGAGGGTCTAGGGGTCAAGCCCACCAACTGCTGTGCAGGAGCTAGCAGTGGCAGTCTACCCCATGTGGACTAAGTCTCAGAGACACCACGGAACCACTCCACGCTGCCCACTGGAGCGGGTGGGGTGGGAGGGGGGTGGCTTTCTGGTAAGCCCTCCGCCCAGAGCCTGGAACCTGGCATCTAGGGAACTCTCAGTGAGTGTTGGCTACATGCCCGCTCCAAACCCCCTGCAGACCATCAGCCCAGCCTTTCTGCTCTGTTTGGAGGGCCTTGGGGTGAGCCTTTGCCCCCTCCACCCCACCCAGCAACGAGAGCCACTGTCTACCTGTTGAGGGCCCACTGTATTCGGTCAGAACCATGGAAGTAAGGATGTGTGGTACCCAGGGGCTCCAGTGACAGTGTGCTCAACAGGTGGACAAACGATTGGAGGAAGGATGGTGGGTCCCAGTGTCCCAAGACTCAGGGAACTATTGCCATGGGCCACACACGTTAAAAGAGTAGCCCACCCCAGCCCTTGAACTTAACCGTTCACAGAAAACAGAGCTTTACCATAGACAGACAACTCTGGGGACTGGCTGAATGGCGGGATATGTCCCAGTGGCCCACACAACGCAGACGTGAGTCAGCAGCAGCCAATCCAAGCCACTGCCCAAGTGACGGGCAGCTGTTCGGACCTTCCCCTTTGGCGACACCCCTGGCAGTCCAAACGCAAAGGAGCCTAACGACATGGTCTAGGGACAGGCTCATCTCCTGGGGAAAGGGGGCTCCCTGCTCATGAAGTCTGCTCTGTCCAGTCAAACCTCTGCACTCGGACTGACCGACTGATCAACCAGTGCCTCTTCTGTTCCCTATAGCCCATGGGGAAGAGGGACAGAAATCCCCACTCCAGCTGGCCTGTAGTCCCAAGATGCCCCTCCTCCTGGCTGCTCCGTGGCGACCCCGCCATACCTCATATTCAATGGCGAGGTCTGTGTGGTCATCGATGTCCACCTTGGCCATCAGGACCTTCCCGTGCTGCTTGGCCACTGCCTTCTCCAGCCTTGGGCCCAGGATCTTGCAGGGGCCGCACCACCTGGGGAGGTGTAGCGTATCTGCCTTGAGCACACCCACCCCCATCTGCTGCCCCTCTGCCCTTCCCCTACCCAGCTGCCTCTTTTGCTCAGTCCAGTGTTGAGACACTGACCTACAAGGCCTATCAACCAACTGCTAGTGCCAGGGACTGGCACCTGGGCCACTGCCCCAGGAGCTATCTTCTAACACACAGGCCCTTTCCAGAGAGGCCCGAGTGAGCTCACTGATTACAAAATACATCCCCAAACCCACTGTGGCTGAGAAGCACGGGATCTGATGGGAAAGGGCAGAGTTCAAGGTGAGGCTCCTCTCCAGTCAGCTGCCTGTCCCGGCTACGTGTGTTCATGGGAAGGGGTGCCATGCAGCATGGGCTAAGGCAACTCAAGCCGCTTCATACACTGTTATTTCAGATGCCACTAGGACTTGGGACCGGGGCAGGGGCTCTAGGCCCAGGAGTGGCTAGAACGTTCAGTCTTCCCAGCGGAGCCTCACCCCCAACTGCGCCAATTACGGAGGCAACAAAACCTTACGGAGCACGGGTGGCGAAACGGTTAAGAGCTTGGCTGCTGGCCCAAAGGTTGGCGGTTTGAAACCACCCCTACCAGCTCCGCCTGAGAAGACTCCCCATGTCCATGTGTTCCCTCCCGTGCAGACTGTGGCCTGGGGAACCCACAGAGGCAGTTCTGCTGTCCTCAGAGGTGGCTGTGACTGGGGGGTGACAACAAGACCAAACTACTTGGCGTTTCGCCATTCTTCACGTGTGCCATTCAGCACCAACCGTGCTCATCACAACCAACACCCCTCCCCCACCTTTCCCACCACCCTGAGCAGCAGCTCAGCTGCTCCTCAGCAGCAAGTCCCCTTATGGGCTCTCCCCTAACCACCCCAGTAGCTCCCATCACCCCCCAGGTCTGTAAACATCTGCCTGCTCACTCACCACTGACGAGGCCATTCCCACTCAGTGACCCTACAGGACAGAGCAGAACTGCCTCTGTGGGTTTCTGGGACTGTCAATCCTTTATAGAAGTAGAAAGCCTCACTTTTCATTCATGAGCCCGCTGGTGGTTTCGAACTGTTGATCTTATGGTTAGCACCCCCATTATGCCACCAGGGCTCCTTCTGCCTCTCTCAGCTTTCTCCTTTAAATGGAACCACCCAATACTGTGCCAGCCCTCAAGCCTGCATGGAAGAGAAAGGCTACTCTGCAAAGCCCAAGTCCACACAAGTTTCAAAACAGGTCCAAGGTCACAGAGCTGGTGAGCAGCCTGGCTGGGATTGTGACCTGAGGTTGTGTCCAAAGTTGGTCCCTTCAGCCTCGGGCCATCAGACCCCACAGCCTGAACACCCGGGACCCGTCCAGCTGGCCCTGGTGGTAAGTTCCTCAAGAGAGGCACTCCACTGTCATCTCTCCACACGTGGCACCAAAGATAGTGCCCCGTCCTGGACAAGCCAACCCACACCTGCGAGAGCCCTCATGTGGGAAACCTGCCATACCCCAAGGACCCTGAACACTGTCAACAACTAACCACTCATCACTGAAAAACCCCGCCTGCAAGACCTTGCCTGCCATCCCCGGGGGAAGGGAGGGAGGCTCAAGGCCAACTGGCCTGCCCAAGGCAGTGGGGGGAGTCAGAGAAGCTGGCCAGGATGAGCCCGGATCTGCCTGCCTCTGACTCAGGCTACTCAGGTTCATTTCTCCAGCTGGGCCTCAGAGGTCTCTAGATGAAGGCCGGTCTACAAATCCTCAGGTCACAGGTGTTTAACCTGCTGCTGTCCAGTTGACTCAGACTCGGCGACTCTGCAGGACAGCGTGGAACAGCCCCCAGGGTTTCCAAGGCCACCTTCTTGACGAGAGCAGAGTCACATTCCCCCCACCCCCCATGGTGGGTTTGAACTGCTGACCTTGACAGACAACTCAACCATTGCCTCCACAGGCATTTCGATACCCATAAAACACATGAAAAAAGGAGCCTTGGTGGTAGTGGTTACGTGTTGGACTGCTGCCAGAAGGTCAGCAGTTTGAGACCACCAGCCGCACTGAGGAAGAAAGACAAGGCTTTCTAATTCTCTCCAGAGAGTGAACAGTCTCACAAACTCACAAGGGCAGCCCTACTGGGTCCTATGGGGTCGCTATGAGTCAGAACTGACTTCATGCCAGTGAGCTGAGTTTTGAAAACACATAAATGTAGCACTGACTAGAAACACTTGCCCATCCCTGAGCTAGGACACCCCTGTGGTGTCAGGGTAACTTTGTGGCAGTGTTAGCAACAAAATGTTACAATGAAACAACTTATTTAAAGGGCCAGGAACTGGCCTATGCAACTCTAGGCCAGACACTGCCCTAGTCCTCTCTTGCCTGCTTTGGGCCAGGCTGAAGAGGCCTCTGAGCCATTGGGACAGTGACACACAAAATGTCAGTCTGTCCCAGCAGGAACATCGAACCGTGAGCCTCACAGTGTTTACCAGTCGGCTCCCTGGGGGCAGACTTCTCATCTTCCCGCTGGAAGAACTGGCCACTGCACCCCATGCACAGCCACCTCCCATTGGCCAGGGGAGACTGGCAGGCTGCAGGACAGGTTTCAGAGGATCTTCCAGACTAAGACGGAGTAGGAAGCAAGGCCTGGCGATCTACACCCCAAAAATGATCCCCCGAAAGAGCCCTACGGATCAGAATGGGACGTCACGCTTTGCTCACTGGTAAATGGGGCTGCCCTGAGTAGGGTGCCACCCAGACCGCCTGCTTCCTACTGGCCTGCATACTCCCTGAGAGCAGGACAATGTCTTGCCAGAAGGTCAAGCCTGGTCCTGGGACATGAAGTGTCCAGGAAACCTCTGAGTGAGTGAGAGACTGGTCTTCCATGCACCGCCCCCCCAGACTCACTGTGCGTGGAAATCCACCACCACTGGGGTTTCACTGTTGACGACTCGGTCTTGGAAATCAGGCCCATCCTGGACATTAAAGGTGGTGGCGCAGGCTCTAGAGGTGTGGATGGTCTGGGCGGGGCTGCGTGCTGCTGCTGCCGGGCCACCTGGAGGGCCCTGTGGGATCTGGAGGGCCCCGGAGGTGAGGGGTGCCCACCGACTCTGAGGGGGCTTCCTGGGGATGACCGAGGCCAGGAACCTCCTCAGGAGAAGTCGCTGCGCCATCTGTGAGGGGAAGAGGATGGGAGAGCGGGGACAGTCGCCAACACGCCCCCAAAAGCAAGCTGTTGGGGAAGACTGGGTCCCAGGAGTCCTGCAGGGAAGCACTGAGGAAGAGAAGGCAGGCAGTTTCTGGAGAGGACAGGGAGGACTGAGAAACAAAGGCAAGGAGGGGCAAGCCAGGAAGAAAAACTGGGTTGACAACAGGGAAAAATCAGGATATAAGCGCAATTACAAGAGACAGAAGGAGGGAGGAGACAGTATTAACAGGCATTAGTCCCGCCACAGTCAGAGAAACTGCCAGAGACTTGCCTAGAAGGCTTCCCAGCTTCTAACGCCCTCCACTTGGACAAGCTGTGATCCTGCCCGCTTTAGAGATAAGGAATTTGAGGCCCGGGGAGGTTTGCATGTCCAAAGCAACCCAACTATGAAAGGACGGCTAACACGGGAACTCAAGGCTGCTTACAAAGTCATCCTGTCGATTTTGTATTACAACGTATTTGTAACGGGACCATCCAAGGACCAGGAAAGGGGATCCGCAGCGTTTCAAGGGGGAACGAAAAGGCACAACAACGGGAGCGCGGAGGGGAGCTAATTGGGAAGGGACATGTGCATGAAGGGAACAGGGCATAAGACGCCACCCGGGATCCCACCTGGCCGTAGGGTCAAGCCCCCGCCCCCCACACACCCGGGGCCCCTGCCCACTCGGCCGCCTGCCCGCGCAGCAGCGCGCCCGCAGCGTGCTCAGGCGCGACACCAGCCGGGCCACCCGCCACGGGCCGCCTACCTCCCAGCAGCGCGAGCGGAGGGACGCACTGCCCGGCCCTCCCCGCCCGTCAAGGGCACTCCCGCCGTCACTTCCTCAGGGGCGGGCCTTTTGCGTCATTTCCGGGAGCGGCACGTCTCTCCGCGCCCTGAAGGGACGGCTGGGATTTCCTGCCAATGGGGACGGTGGGAGAAAGTCCTGTTGAGAGACGCAAAGAGGGGCGGGTCTTTTGGGTGAGACCAGAAGAGGCGAACGGACCCGAGAGGAGAAACCGGAAGTATAAGCGGATTCAAGAGAAAGGACCGGAAGAGGTGGGCGGGTCCAAGAGGAGGGACCGGAAGTATGGGCGGATTCAAGAGGAAGGACCGGAAGAGGTGGGCGGGCCCAAGAGGAGGGGCCGGAAGAGACTGGAAGGAGGCGGGGCAGAGGGGAAGTGTCTGTAAAAGGAGCTGGGGGTGAGCGTGTAGCGTTTTTGATGGTCCGCGAGTTAGTGTGGGGTTGAGTTTGTTTTGATGGCCAGCAAGCTCCGCCCAGTTCCTCGGCCTTCTTTTCTTTCAGTGGCTTTTGGAAACAACTGAGGGTTAGACTCTTCCAAATGCTCCTTAGCGAGAAAAGGAGTTTGACTGAGGGTTAAGAGGTCTGTTTGCGATCGTCTTGTGTCACACTCGCTTTTATGACCTTTTTCGGTCTGCCCCTCGTGGCTCGGTGTCCCAACAAGTGACACGCATGGCGGGGCTTGTCATGCCTCGTTGGGGATGTTGGGGTGCTGGGGCCCGACAAGACTTATGGTGATGGCAGGTGAATGCTGATGCACCGTGATGGTGATATGTTGGGCACTTGCTTTTGAAACTCCAGGAAAGGGGCGGTCGTCTGTGAATCTGCATTGGCCTGGCGCCTCCGCCTACCCCCACCCCACTCCCCACCTTTGCCTTTTCACCTCCATGATTAGTTGTCAGAAATTGTTAGGCAAGGCAGACTTTATTCGAAAAGGATTAAAAAGAAGGGAGGGAAAGGACGGAGAGAAGTAAAGGAAGCCAGTAGAGGAACATTGCCGTACTGAGAAGGGGGCTATCAGTGGGAGAGAGACCAGCCTCTTTGAGGAAACAGAAGTTGAGAGTCTTTTACAGCAAAGGTAGAGTGAGGGATTTCGTTTAACAAAGGGTTACAGTAAAATGCAACTCTGTCATGCTGTCACAGATTGCAAGGGAGGGGGCTTCTATGTGTTGGATTTTTTTTAATTAATCATTTTATTGGGGGGCTCTTACAGATCTTATGACAATCCATAATTCAGTTGTGTACATATGCTGCCATCATCATTTCCAAAACATTTTCTTTCTACTTGAGCCTTTGGTATCAGCTCCTCTTTCCCTCTCCCTTCCCCACCCTACAGGTTGGATTTTTAACAAACTAAATTTTAAGTCACGTTATCTTTCTAGTATTTGACTAACAAGGGTTAACTCTTTCATCCCTTCTCATCAGTATCTGTTTTCAACTTATCTCCATATGCTGCTTCCCTGGTGCCCTCTTCTCCCCAGCCTGGCCGGAGCCTGCTCAATAAAGCAAAGCAAACCAAGCCCAGTACTATGATTCCCTCTCCAGAAATGCCCCACGGAGCTTCTGAGCTGTCAGCTTTGCAGGAACTGACCACCAGGGCGTTCTCTCTGAGACCGCTAGTGGGCTCAACTCACCAACCTTTCTGTTAACAGGTGAGGGCGTAAGCATTGCACTACGAGGGCTCGCTGGGATGGCTCTGATGCATAGCACCCGTGCACAACAGGATGAAACACTGCCTGGCCCTGTGCCATCCTCACTACTGCTCCCGTGCTGAGGGCCATTGATGCCCAGGAAACCTAAGATCTTTGGGTGTCTCAGGGAGTGGTTTGCAGTTGAGAGGTCACATGACTCGTTGGAGGTCATGAAGCAGGGGAGTGGCAGAGCTGGATTTCCATCTCCATTTCTCAGCCCCTGGAGCCACAGATCCAGAGTTGGCTCATCCCTGCATTTTGTGGCTGCTGCTTCGTGTGACATGAAGGCCCTCCCCTCCACTCTCCATCTGAAAAAATACTGCCAGTCCTTAGATAACAGCTAGGGCATCCTCTCGGGAAATCCCTTTGACCTCCCGGAGAGGTGGAAATAGGCCCCTCTGCACATCTACCATTCAGCCTACTGCATTTGGGGTGCCCGTTTCTTCCCCACTCCTCACTATACTGTGAGATCCTGGAGGCCCCGCCTGTCTCCACTGCTTTGCACAGGGCTTGGAGCACCCAGAGGTGCTCAGTGATGAATGGGTGAACAAGAGAGCAGAGAACTCAGATAGAATCTTGAGACCCTGACCCAGCACATGACATGACCCCATTGTCCCTCCCAAAATCACTGCCCTCATCTTGGCCACCTCATGCTATTATGTGTCCTTTGTCCAGCTGGGTAGGAACCCTCCTCTCCGGAGTGAGGAAATCCTTGGGATAGGGCCACACCCCCTGGCCACCAGCACCCATGTCAGCCTTCTACTCAATAAAAACACCCTTGTCCATTGGCCTTCCCACTCTGCCTGACCCCTTAGCTGCAGCCCCTGGCCTGGTAGGACTGGAGCTACCAATGGCGAGCCACGCAGGCTGCTGGCTGCTCCCCAGCCCCCCTGAGGTCAGCATGGTTCCGTGCAGCTGTCGCTGCTCATGCCAGCCACCATCTGGCAGGGGCGCTTCTACGCTGTTCATTTTCTTGTCTGTTTTTCTGCGTCTTCAGCACTTTCTCTTCCAGAACCGCCTATTAATCCTATTCAGCGTTCCCACAGCAATTTCTGGAGAGGCAATTTCTCTGCTTACTTCAGCTCCTGAGTTACAAAGGATGGCCATTCCTGTTTGTTCTGCAACCGTAGTTGCTTCGTGCCTGTTGGCCTCTGACATCTCATCTGAGAAATGGGGAGAAAGGCTGCTTCCTCACAGAGGGGCTGTGGGGGTGAGGGTTGGCATGCCCTCTGATGAATGGAGGTATCCTCTTCCCTCTGCAATCAGAGAGCTTGAGAGACACACAGAGAGGGCTGAGCCCAGGGCACAGACTACACAGGGGCCCCTGTGCCTGCCCAGCCACAGCTGACCAGGACTAGGTCGGCCTTAGGGCACAGGAGCGCAGAGGCGAGGAAGCTGGGACAGGCAGCGTGGAATCAGGACAAAGTTGCTGCTGCTTGTGACTGACGATTCGTTCTGAGGCCAGTGGAGCCTGAAATCAATTTAGTGGCTTGTGATTAACTTCAGAACAACATGAGAACATTTTAGACAGAGATGTTGAAATCACCAAATGAACTAAGCCGATCTCATGACTTCGTAAGCAGCGCATGCCCACATCGTGCCTGTAGGAGGCCTGATGGCCATGCAGTGGCTCCCTGTTTGAAACCACCAACTGCTCTGAGGGAGAAAAACAAGGCTTTCTGCCCCCATAAAGAGTTAGCAGTCAAAGAAACCCACAGGGACAGTTCGGCCCTGTCCTGTGGAGTTGCTGTGATTGGCCTGGGTTCAAGGCAGTGAAGGTTTATTTATTTATTTTTTTCAGGTCATCATTGCCTCTGGAGTACATATCATATAATTCACCAGAAACCCTAACAAAAGAAATCAAGTGAGCTTTCCTACTGTACCAATTCCTTTCTGTGGGAAACAGAAAGATTTCTTCCAAGTTGTCTCCCCGAAATATATGCCAAACTTAGCTGCTTGCTATACATGGTTAATGACTATACACTTGGAGGTCAATGAAAGCAGGTCAGAACTTACTCTCCATAAGGGTTATTAGCCATCTAGAGCAATCAGACTGTATAGTCTGCCCCACCCTAAGTAGGGCCCACTCCCTTCTGATAAGGATAGTAGTACATTGTTTCCCCAAAGGAGAATGCAGGGAGGTCAAGCCCACTCAAGGGTGACCAAGGTTAGGCTGCCATCATGAATCTAGGGTCTGCCCTTCTTGTCACATGTATACCCCTAGTCCCTACCCTTCCTATTATGTGTATACCCCTAGTTCATCTCCTTCCTGTTATGCTTATGCCCATTGTATATCCCCCTCCTATTGCTTGTGTTGCCTATTGTACAACCCCTTCCTGTGATGTATTTCATTACGTGTAATTAGGGGGCATGCACGCCCCCAAGGATATATAAGCCTGGGTCAGCAATAAATCTAGGAGGTGAGCATGCTACCATGAAATGTGTCTGACTTCTTTATTTTACTCTCTCCATCTCTCCCTATTCTCTATGACTTTTCTATAATCTTTATATATCTGAACCATACAATTGAGCCTACCGAACCCGGGATTAGTTGTGGGGGGCTGGCTTCCCCCACCTTTCGCTTGTTATTCTACTTCCACGAAGGAATGCTGTTTGCAGTCTCTGAATCCAGGCAACTGTCCTTTTGGGTTGGGGAAGGTGGAGATCAACAAGGGAACTTAAAAAGCCACAGGAAGCCAGCCGTCTTTATCATTTTACAATGAGGACTGCTTTATCAATGCCTGCATTTGCTCTCAGCACACTGCCCCTTCCATAACCACATAGACATTGCAAACAAAACGTGAGTGCGGGAGGGTAAAGGGAGAGTGGGTAGGAAAGAGGGAACTGATTACGATTACAAGGAACTATATGTGACCTCCTCCCTGGGGGACAGACAACCGAAAAGTGGGTGAAGGGAGACGTTGGACAGGGCAAGATATGACAAAATAACAATTTATAAACTATCAAGGGCTCATGACAGAGGGGGTAGCGGGGAGGGAGGGGAAAAATGAGGACCTAATGCTGGGGGTTTAAATGGAGAGAAAATGTTTTGAGAATGATGTACAGATGCGCTTTACACAATTGATGTGTGTATGGATTGCGATAACAGTTGTATGAGCCCCTAACAAAAGGTTTAAAAAAATAAAATAAACAAAAATAAAAAAAATAAAAAATAAAAACGTGAGTGCAACTCACAAGGTACGAGAAGCGTGAGTGTCAGTGAGTTTGAGCCAACGGTGGGGGCAACGATCAGAGGAGGAGGAGGAGCATAGTGGAACAGTTTGAGGAAGGCCCATGTGTAGAGAGTGTTGAAATGACATAAGGCTGTGTGCCTTCACCACCCAAAAGAAAAACAAACAACAACCACCACCATTTTG